TCTGCGATGGATTGGCGCCCTGTCCAGGGTGTACCCCGCCTTCGCCCCATTGCCGGCCGGGATTGGCTCCGGCCCCACCCGTTACCCCGTTCAGGGACTAAGCGGTAGAAAATGAATGAATGAATGAATGTTTGAACTCATGGGAAGCTCTTACCGGTCAATTAGAATTTGTGGACTGACTTTTCATCATGCATGTAAACATAATAGATGGTGTGATGCATTCCACATGTACAGTATGCTTGCATTGCCATGTTTTTTTTGTCAAGGCATTGGTGCTATAATGGTGAGCATAGCACCTTCCCAAGCAGTTGATCCGGGTTCGATTACTGGTCGATGCCAGAAATCTCAATGGTTATGTTTTTACAGGAACTGTTTGAACTCATGGGAAGCTCTTACTGGTCAATTAGAATTTGTGGACTGACTTTTCATCACGCATGTAAACATGTTAGATGGTGGCGTGATGCATTCCACATGTACAGTATGCTTGCATTGCCATGTTTTTCTTTGTCAAGGCATTGGTGGTATAATGGTGAGATTTAAGATTTGTCATGCATGTAAACATATTGGACAGTGGTGTGCTGTCAGTTCTATATTTTTCTGACAAGGAATTTTTGGTATAATGGCAAGCAGAGCTAATGCAAGAGATCACAATGGCCATGTTTTTAAAATGAAACACAAACATGTATGAACTGCATGGGTTTTACAAACTGGATGAGTTCAGTGATAGAAAATAACAATTTGGCTTTTTTGGACAGAAGTTTCATCATGCATGTAAACATAATGGACAGTGGTGTGATACATTCCACACATGTGCTGGGATTTCCATATTTTTCTGCCAAGGCATTATTGATTGAATGGTGAGCATAGCTGCTTCCCAAGCAGATGCTCTCAGTTTGATTCTTGGCCAATGCAAGACATTACGATGATCCTGTGTCCTCAAGAATTGTTTGAGCTAATGTCAAGTCCTTGCCTGTCAATTTTGATTTGTGGATAGAGAGTTCATCATGCATCTAAACATAATGAACAGTGGTGTGATGCCCTCATTATGTGTGCTGACATTGCCATGTTTTTCTGTCAAAGCCTGGTACAGTGGTAAGCATAGCCGCTTCCCATGTGGGTCCCGCTGTTGATTCCTGGCCAGTGCATGATCGTACAATGTTTTTTTGGAGAGGTGGGGGTCTCAAGTCACATGACTTGTCTCAATTCAAACATAATTTAAGGACTTGAGACTTGCTTGACTAACACTGGTAAAATACTCAACTTGACTTCAGCAACAATTTATCAGCAACATTAGGTTAATACTAGATTTAACTGATCATAGAGATGTTATTTTACATACAATCATACATAAGGTCATACATACATACATACAAACATGTATACAAAAAATCATACATACAATCGCGCTCCACATTAACCATTCACTCTTGACATTAAGCACTCACACTGTCTCTCCACATTAACAAGTCACACTCACATTTTACATTAACCACTCACACACTTTTTAGATGTATGTAGTGTACATCTCTATGATGGATAATGGGAGTGATCTTCCAAAATGTTGCATTTACCCAAAATTCAACATGTGGTGAGGACAACTTCGCTTTCTCTAATTTCTTGTATGTAAGATTTCTGAGGTCCAAATGAAATTCAACTTAAATCAGACCTGTTGCGCACATCATGTGCAGACAGTCTCACTTTCTCCATAAGGCAAAAACAAGCTGTATTCAAGAAGACACTGCACCAGAGTATTATCCAACAATCAAACATGATCCCTAAAAAATACACTGAAAAGTTTTAGGAGACGTGACTGAAAGAGTAGGCTAGAAAACAGTAATTTAGGAAGGGTGGCTTAACTAATTATTGCAGTGGTACACAGCCAATAAACCTCCGTTTTGTCTTATAATATGGGGCTATTGTGTTTTAATGACCCCTTATTGACAATATTTTTGCTAATAAAATATACAGACAATTTTATGTCCACCACATTATCTGCCAAAGTCAACATAGATGCAGGGTTATGACAGCAGCTGTGTGATAAATCAGATTTAAAATTAGTGTTTATAAATAAGTTGTCTACTTCTTTGCAGCATACTGTACATGGTGTTTAACTACTGTATGCGGGTAACTTATGCTATGTTAATCATGTTTAATGCAGTAGAACTCTGACTAGAGGTATGAAACCCAGTGTATATAGAATATATTACTGTATGGTCTGACAATTCAGAACCCTATACTGTATATATTGTATGGTCTGACAGAACTCTACTGTTGGTGGACAGTATAGTAGACATTGGCTCTGGTGGCCATAACTGTCAGTTAGCATTAATGGGCAAAACACCAGGTAGAAAGGAGTAAATAAGGACAGAATAACAAGAACTCAGGAAAATGTTACATAAACTTTTATGATTTTCTTAAATTAGTTATGAAAACAGTTAGAAAAACAGAAAACTGGGGACAACAGGAAGACAACAACTGCTTGTCCTGAGAGCCCCCTCCCATTTTACATTTCATGTGTGATGTCATAGTTGGAGGCCACAAGTCTTTGCCCTTTGACCTTCTTTGTTTGCAGTCTGTATGACAGAAATCAGGCTCTTCTTGTTCAGCATAGCCCTCGCTTCATGAGATGACAGCACGTTCAGCTATACAAAGATGAAGACAAGCACTTACAGTACGTACAAACACACACTGATGTGTTTTTATTTTTTACAGTTTCTCAGAAACACACAAACACCATTATTTAGACCAAAGGGCTGCACTGTATAACTTAGATGAATTTTGCTGGTCAAGAACACTTTTATTTAAGTTGCAGACCTTTCTCTAGGGTCCATAGACACACACACACACACACACACACACACACACACACACAGACCTGAAGTCATCACTTACAGGGTCCATACATAGACTTACATTCATTTGCAGGAGACTAACCCTAACCTTAATCAGAATGGTTACTTGCCTAACCTTAACCTTAACCTTTACACCTTTACCCTAACACTTAACCAAAGAAGACACTTGCTCTAACCTTACATGTCATCACTTTCCAAGCCCCTCAAGTGGACTGCTGGTCGCTGCAAAGATAGTAACTCCAGGATTTCGGGCCCCACACACACACACACACACACACACACACACACACACACACACACAGATCCTGTCCTGTTGATAGGAATATTCCAGTAGGGGCATGATTCTATACAGTGCACCAAGTCCAAAACTGATATAATGCCAATCCAGCCCTTGCTTCTACATCCGGTTTTGATGGCATCCTGGGACCTGCTTTTGGTGGGATCCTTTAAGTATGATATATTCCAAACAGGACTGAGATCATTCAGAACAGGCTGAAATCCACTTGAGGTCAAGTCAGACCAGTTCTTCTCTTCTTCGCGGCCCCCCTTCTCTGACTGTCTCCTCAGTGCTCTGAAAACACAACCAGATTAACAATGAACAATGCAGTGTTTTTAAAGGTTTCTCTGGTCATTTTTGCTACTGATGATCATTGTAGCCATCTTTGACAGAGCTCAATGAGACAAAACACTAGATGGTAGGAACCAAAAAAAATGAAATCTCAAAGTTTTGCATGATCTTACAAGATCTCAAAGACTGCATGACTTGTGAATAATAAAAAAATCCCACAGCTTTCATATAGTTCTATAGTAGTATAATTTGGTATTTAGTAATAAAACCCACTACTTGAAACCACTAATTACTAACTGGTGTCTGAAAATTATGGAATTAGGGTTCTTTCAGAGAATGAGATAATAAGATGAATTCCACACTCATGTTTGGAGTTACTATAAGTACAAAACTGATGTCAGAATGTGGGAATTCTAGCTTAGTATACTGTAAATACTAGAAGTAAAGGGAAATGGCTAAGAAAGGCTTGCTACGTTTAGAAATGTACCTACCTCTAAGGCTTGTATAATCCATACAGTTATTTTTATGTGAGCCTTATCAAAACTGACTCAACTGGCTTTGTGAATTAAATTTTCTGAACAGTTAACATATGGGGAGATTATGCTTTTATTAGGAAGGAGTTGGAGAAGTATTATTGCCTTTGCTGCTTAGGGGAGCAACAGAATAAGGCAACATTTTGTTCAATATAATACAGAGTTAGGTCCCCCCCTTCCAATTTCCCAATTAAGAAACACCTCTCACTGAATTTACTGGGCATCTTCTCACATTCCCATTCTGTCGCTTTGTCTTTTAATCTCTCTCTTTCCTTCTGCTCCCAACTAGCTCCTTTCCCCCTTTTTTCTCTGTACATTTCCTCTCACCATTGGCCCTTGGCAGCAGTGCTCCTCCTCTGCTGAGAGATGCTGTAGATCTCCTGCAGCTGTTTTTTCTGGTCGTCACTGAGTGGAGCTGTCAAACATTGGTACCAGGCTGCATCAGTGTTCTGGACCCCTAATGCACATAGAAAAAGTTGTAATGTGAAAGTGTTTTGTGCAACCACCGCAGAGCAAAAACAATAAGCAATTTACTGTCTGTTGACAAAGCCGTCCTTGATAGGCTAGTGGTTAAGGCGCAGCGCTCTCGCCGCTGCGGCCCGGGTTCGAATCAGGGTTGCATCAAGAAGGGCATCCGGCGTAAAACATGTGCCAAATGTCAACATGCGAGTTGTCAGTGTGATGATTCGCTGTGGCAACCCCTAAACGGGAAAAGCTGAAAGTGACTTTCTACTGTCTGTTGACAAAAAATACATTGACAACAGTAATAAACAATAATAAATGACTCCATTTGAACCCTCAACTCTTTTCAAGCTTTTTCTGCTGTATTTACAGAGGGATAGTGGTCATCGATTAAAAAAAATTTGTGTCTGCTAGGAGTTCTTACTGTAACCACATTTACAAAGAGTCATCTGAATTAGGCTACTCTTGATAATGGAGAAAAGGTGTAACTGTGGTGATTATGAGACATGATCGGTTGTTACAGGCGATATTTTTCCTTTATTTAAAATTTTTTTTTTTTTTTACAGGAATACATAAATTTATGGATCTTTAGCCTCGATGGAAACCAGACAGTGTTTTCATTAGGAAAAGTAGGTTTAACTGATTCCAGCAGTATGTGTATAACAGTAATTACCAAATGGAGCTTTCCAGAAGCAATGAGGCTTTGTAGTCCATTGTATCACCAAAAGATCAATGACTGGACGCATCATTTCACTCTAAATTCACTAGTGACACCAACTGTTAAAAGTAATAAAGTGCAACCAAATCATAATCCATCGTGCCGATGACATAGCGCAAATATTCCAGACATGTTGCAGCAATTGAAAGTGCTCATGTGACTGAATAAGAAAAGGGGAAACTTTATTCATTTTTATTTAGAAACTAAATTTCTATTATATTATATGATGTGCCATATACCCTTTACCTTATAGGAAGACACAGTATTAATTCAAAATGCTCCCAAACAGGCTCCATTTATTATTATTATTATTATTATCATTTTGTCACTCTCACTGCCACACTCTTCAAATCCTTAATACTGAACTTAGCACACTGGGAAAGTCTTGGCACAATGGACAAACGAAACACCAAACTACACTAGTGAAAGTTTCAGATTTCTCAGTCCTTCTATCAGCAAATCTAATCTCAAACAAACAATTGTTATTCTGCAGGAGACCGAGTACTCATTTGTCATTGACCACATGACCCTCTGAAAATGATACAAGCCTTGATATGAAGCTTCAGCAGAAACTGCCAAGTACTTGAGTCATGCTTTGAAGCATTTGTGTCATACATAAAATTACTAATGTAACGAAGAGAAAAAATCTGTCTCTAGATCCTCAGGAGGAACCCCAAGGCGTTCCCAGACCAGCCAGGAGACATAATCTCGCCGTGTCCTGGGTCTGCCCCAAGGCCCTCTCCCGAAGGGACATGCCCGGAATATCTCCCCAGGGATGCGTCCAGGGGGCATCCTAAACAAGTGCCTGAGCCACCTCAACTGGTTTCACTCAATGTGGAGGAGCAGCGGCTCTACTCTGAGCTCCTCACGGGTGACTGAGCTCCACACCCTATCCCTAAGGGTGCGTCCAGCCACTCTCTGAAGGAAACTCATTTCTGCCGCTTGTATCAGCGATCTCATTCTTTGGGTCATGACCCAAAGTTCATGGCCATAGGTGAGGGTAGGGACGTAGTTCGACCAGTAAATTGAGAACTTCGCCTTACGACTCAGCTCCTTCTTCACCACAACACACAATGCAGAAAACCATGAAATTCTAAAAGGTTCACATACTTTTTCTTGCCACTGTAACTATAGAATAATGATTCCATTTGAAACAGGTGATGTCAGCAGGTGACCACAATCATGATTTGGTACAAAAGTGGCATCCAGGAAAGGCCGAGCCCTTTAGGAGCAAAAATGGGTCGAGGATCGCCAGTTTGCCAACATATGCATGAGAAAATTATTGAAATGTTTAAAAACAATGTTCCTTAAAGAAATGAAGGGATTTGGATACCTCACTGTCTACAGTGCAGAACATAATTAAAAGATTCAAGGAATCTGGAGGGATTTCAGTGCGTAAAGGGCACAAACCTCAGGTGGATGACCCTGCTTTCTGATCCCTCAGACAGCACTGCATCGAGAATTGCCAATCTCCTATAGGCAATATAATCACATGGTCTCAGGATCACTTTGGCAAACCTGTGTCAGGCACTTCAATAACTAGTTACATCCATAAATGCCACTTAAAACTGTTCTGTGCCAAAAGGAAGCTCTATGTCAACAGTGTCCAGAAGTGCAGTCACCTGCTCTGGGCTCAGAGGCATCTGGAATGAACCATAACATAGTGGAAATGTGTACTGTGGTCAGATGAATCAGGTCTGTTTTGAAAGGAATGGATGTCGTGTGCTGTGGACCAAAAACAAAAAGGACCATCCAGACTGTTACCAGCAACAAGTCCAAAAGCCAGAGTCTGTCATGGTCTGGGGTTCTGTCAGTGTCCTTGGCAAAGGTAACTTACACTTCTGTGATGGCAACTTTAATGCTGAAAAATACTCAGAGATTTTGGAGCAACGTATGCTGCCTTCAAGACGACATGTTTTCCAGGGACTCCCATGCATAATTTAACAAGACAATACAAAACCTCATGCTGCACACACTACCAAGGCATAGCTGTGGAGAAAAAGGGTGCAAGTATTGGACTGGCCTGTCTACAGTCCCGACCTGTCCCCAATAGTCAATGTGTGGCACATTTGGAAACAGAAATTGCATCGACAAAGACCCAGGACTATTGCACACCTTAAGACTTGTTTGCAGGAAGAATAGTACAAAATTACAGCTGACACACTTAATCACTTGGTGTCCTCAGTACCTAAACATCTTTTAAGTGTTGTGAAAAGGAACGGTAACATCACACCATGGTAAATGCTTTATTGTCCAAACCTTTTTTGGAATGTGTTGCAGGTAACAGAATTGGGGTGTTTATTTTGAACAAAGAATAAAATTGATGAGGTATCACATCAAATAATGTGCTGCTGTATTGTTTGCAATGTAGTACAGGGCACAGATGATTTACACATCACTATTTTCATCTTTCATTTTACATACCGTCCCAACTTCTTCTGATTTGGGGTTGTAGTCGTAACAGAATGATGACTTACTAAGCAGGGCAGAGGTGAAGAACTGGTATTCATCCTCTCCGTTGTCGTAGTCGAGTGGTGTGCTGTACTCCTCCAGGGGCGTTCCCTCAAAGCCGTCATTATCCCAGTACTCATCTTCATCCTCCTCATCATCCTCGCCATCCTGGCCTGCTGGCGTGCCGGACTGTTGCCGCATGGCGTTACTGTTCTCATTCACCTCATCTTCATCACTGGGAATCTCCTCTGCCACCAAGAAAAATAATGCAACCATTAATGCTGATTCTTTTTGGCTATTTTAAACTTTTCAATACTTCAAAAGATGGTAACTGGAAGAGTTAGGAAAGGGGCGCCATTTTGGGAGATACATACTATATTTACCTGCATACATTCTTGTTTATTTTTGGGTAAAAAGCTGCTTAAATCATTTATATCTCACATTACTGAATATGGCAATTCAGAATGGATAACCTCAGCTAACTGTAGCTGACTCATAGCGGACCTAGAGGTCTCATCTACGAAAGCGACAAACTGAAAAATAACTGATCTACTTTGCCTTCTCTATTTTCTTGTATTTAAAATTTCTGAGGTTCAAATGAAATTCACCTGAAATCGAACCTGTTGTGCACATCATGTGCAGACAGTCTGACTTTCTCCATAAGGCAAAAACAAGCTTTTGGCATCAACTTATACAGTTCAGTAGTTGTTAAGAAATGTTTCTCCAACTCTGGTAGCTGCCTCAGTTCTCTATCCAGGATCATCTTCTGTTGTACTCGACAATGAAAATGCAAATATTTTTGTCTAATGATGTTTGGTAGTACTATCTGAGGATCCGTCATGTGAGTTTGTGCAACAGCAGGGGTACTGCCAAGCAGAGCCTTATTTAGCAATCTGACAGCAATGATTTTGAAAATGATCACATCCCAAAAATGTTCTCATGAACAAGTGTCAATCACAGAGTGAAACAATTGCATTTCAACAAACAGTTAATAGGGTTTGATGAATCAGACTCATATAAGCATAAAAGGATTTAAGATGAAACTACAAAAATGTTCCTGCATGAGGCCCACTGATTGTTAGTCACTGGTGAGACACATTACAAAATGGAAAAATAGAGCTAGTTTTTTTTTTTGCACCCAACAACTAGCAGCTTCACAGACATAAACGGGGAGAACAAAATGTTAAAAACTCTCAGTGTAGCTCAGTACAATTCAGCAGCACCTTCTAAAATGAATGAATAATTGCAGGACTGTTGGATTAGACTGACTTAATCTTAACTAGGTGTACCACATAAATTGACAAATGTTTAATTGTAGTTTATGACATTTCTGCACTGGCTTCAGCGTTACTCTGTGTTAGCTGTCACAGAGTAATATCAAAATCATGAATTGCAAAAACAAAACTAGGCATTTTTACATCAACAGCTATATTATTGTTTCCTAAATATGAGCTTGTATTTTGTGAAGTACACTCTGTGCTAAAACAAATACCTGAATAAAGTTGAATAAAACAGGAAAATCATACTACTTGATATTTGCTACACAACATTATCCTTCTATATTCTTCTCATATGACTGAAAGCATATTTCAAACCAGAACACGTTTGACTTTAAGTGGAACAAAATGTAAGCTTTTCTATTAAGAATAAACTAGTCTGAAACATTAAATGCAGTGAAATCAATGCATTTTAAATATCTGGCATCAAGAAAAACCCTCGCCTCTGCACTAAGGTAATTTATCTGTCTGCCCCACAAACAGTAGACAGGGCTTAGGAATCTAATTCCTTTATGCTTGACTGAAGCTAAGTAGAGCCCATGGGGGTGAAAATAAAGATGTGCTGCACCTAATTTAAACTTGGCACTGAATTAAGAGTCAAGCAGACAAAGACCCATTGTAGAATGGAGAATAAAATTCCATTGTCACCACTAAGCCAATTTCTACCTGCTCTTTGCTTTCTCTCTATCCTCATTCAATTTGATTTATTTCCTCCAATACCACAAATTTCTATTAAGCTTTGTTCTTTTTCTTATTCCATCTTCCCTTTCTTGATCTTTTCTCACCATTTTGGTCTTCTTCCTGAGGATCTGTGCGGGCTAGCAGGCCTGGTTTGTTGATAAGGCGGGAGGCGTAGAGGTGTTTAAGGCCTAGGAAGAGGAGAAGGATGGAGGGGACAATCTGAGCGGCAACTCCCTCGAGCATCGCCGGCCGGCTGGGAAGCTCCATCAGCACGCTCAGGCCAATGATACACATCTTGCGGTCATGGAGCCTGAGGAGCGGATCAGAGAGAGGGAGGATGAGACAGACTGGGGGACAGTATCAAGTCCTAAAAGGCTTTCTTAAAAAAATCCAGATTTAGTTTCAAGGTTTCTACATGCATTAAAGGATAAGTAAGAAAGACACACAGACAGACAGGCAGATACATACATTATTGACCCCAAGGAAAATTCTGGATGCCAAGGGAACTTCAGGATTCAGGATAAAGCTGGTCATTTTCTTTATTAACAGTATTTTCAACAATCCTTCTACAGATACTAAAACTGTAATTTTGTATAAAGGAAACATGTCACCCAATGCAGTGGTGTGTTTCACCGATGTGTTTTTAATTGTTTTTGAACAACAATAGAGGTCTATGGCACGGATGAATAAGATAATCCAGGTTGGAGACAGACAGACATTAACCTTAAGAAGAGGAAATTCATTGCTAGTTTGTAGTCTCTGTATAGGGATTGTTGAAAATACTGTTATACAGAAAATGACTGGCATTATCCTTTAAAAAAGCCAAACAAATATGTCCTAATCCACCTGAATTTAACAACCAAACAAAAACAGCTAGAAAAGGATTCCGGTTTCCAAAGACCACAGTCAATGAATGGTCTTAAATTATTAATGGGCAGCTTCAGACAAAATAACAGGATAAAAAAGATCATAGGATTTGATATTTATTAGATAAACAAATGGCTGCATTGCAGTGCAAAGAAGCTTCTCTATACCTGATAAAAGAAATCACACTTTTAATAACTTCAGTCTAGTTAAATACCCTTTTCAGGCCTTAAAACAGTTTGTGGGAAACATGGTCATTTGCTTTCTTTGAGTGAGATAAGAATGTTGATGTCAGTCTGATATTTGTATTAAGAATATATGGAGTTGAAGTCACTACATGGTTAGCTTAGCTTCCCTGCATTTCTGTGCAACATATGCAGGTTGCCCAATATAGTCAGTGAGCTGAGGTTAAGGTAAAGGTCACCGTACAGGTCTGTCATACAAGCTGTCTGTTTTTCCACACTCCAAATGTGCCCTCTGTTTTGCAAAGCTAACATGACAAATCATACCAGAAGGAGCAGGACAA